AATTAAATTAGTCATCCATTCAAAAAAATTGCAGTTGCATTCTATGAGACATTTTTTGGGCTTGAGAATACGACCTGAAAGTAACTCATAATAATGATGAGCTTTTAAAAGCATCAAGAATAGCATGAATGTTGTCTAATGTTTCTATAGTATAAGGATAATCTGTGGCTATTGAAATTTATTTATTTTAATACTTTTCCACTGTTATGTTATGTTCTCGTAATCCGTCTCCTCTTTTTTGCTCTCTGTAGGTTCTCAGCCTGTCATTCTGGTTTTGATGCATCACACACATGAACCCAGACATGTAACTTTTATGAAAACATGGGATGGCGTTTCTAATGTTGTGTTACTATTCCATGTTTTCTACCATGAGACAGTGCATGGATTGTTGCAGTGTCAGCAAAATAACAGTGCCATTTCTGAAATTCGAAATGCATTACTGGAGCACGCAGATATCCAGACAATTAAAGATACAAGTGGAAAGACACAGAATGTGGCTGCTGAAAGTAGTAGTGGCTATAGTTTTGGTAGGTTGATACCCAAATACTTTGGTAAGTAATGATAGTGTAAAGTCAGAAACTGTAATGGCTTGTGTCAACAGCAACACTAAAATAAACAATTCAAGACATGAAATACTATTTCTTAAATGTGCCTTTCTGCATCAACCAGTCAGCACCTGCTTAATGCAACTAAGAAATATTAGATTTTACAAGCTAGAGTAAAATAAAAAAAGATACTTATTTCAATGCTTCATTGCAAAAGCTTTTTAACATTCCACTCAGTTATGTAGTGTTTACAACCCGACCAATTCATTGTGTGTGGTCAATAAACATGTAAATATATCCCATGCATTACTCTTTTGTAATCTACTTCTTGTTGCACTATATCACTTGGGTAGTGTAGATTGCTCTGACCATTTGAGTAGGAAGCGAAGATTTTATGGTTTTGGAGAGGCAAAATAATTATTTTGTACATTGTGAAACAAGGGCAGTGCAGATTTGTCTTTGTGACCTTTATTTTAGTACTTTAAGAAATTTCAGCTGTAAGGGTAGTTGCAGAGTCAACAGGTGTGATCATGAAGTGCCAAGGTCAGAGACACAGTATATGGGTGTAGATAGTCATAAAACTAAGTTCAACTGTACAATTGATATTTATCTCTAAAAAACAAATGTGACAGCTACAGCTGTATGTACCCAGTGACACAGTAAGTCTTTTGATCATCAAGATGAATAATCAATACATTTCTATCAAAGTCAAATGTATTGTGATTAGTTTCATGGTTGCTATGTAAATCTGCAAGTTATTTTCATCTTTCAGAAAAAAAATCAAGCCAATGTTTAAAATTGTGAATACAAATGTAAAAAAAACATCTGTTGTCTTCTTTTTCTTTTTTTTTCCTTTTTTTGTAAAAAAATTGAGGCGTCCTGAACAGTTCAAAACACCAGTGTATTTACAGTATAATCTAACCTAGTTCAGCTAATATTTCTGCTTTTATTTTCTATATTCTTGACTTTTATTCACACTAAGAAAGACTAAAGAGTGCAAAGACCACATATTCAATGACAAGCCCACTTTATACATGTATACATTATATTCATAGAAAATGAAAAATTGTGTGTGACAAAGTTTTTTTTTTCTTTATGGCTGGTGTAAAGTTTGTCATCTAAATAAAAATGAACTAACATAAACTGCTCTGTATTCTAGTATTTGACGGAATAATTACGTTTAATCCGGTCCTTTGATTTGCTAGCAACGCCAAATTAATGTCACATAAATGACGTGTTATTAATTCTTTAGATTAGCACTGTGGTACTTAAACCGTGTTTTGAGGCCCCCTGGGGCGTAGAGCTTCTGCAGAAAGGCATTCATGAAAGGGAAAATTAAGGTGGAAAAAAATAGTAAATATGAAGTTAAACTAAGCTGGATGAATATGATTGTGTCTTTAGTGTCTTTGTTTTCCTAAATGGAGAGGACATATAACTTGTACTTTTATTTTGAAAATGTTTGTTTTATTTTTTTTTCTAGACCGGAAGTTTGATATTGTTTACAAATGAATGCTTCCGGTAGGTCCTGCTACTTAGCGCGTTGGCATGAATATTATTTTGTGTTATTTACCTTACCAGTTTTGATACAAACACTACCACCTGCAAGCGCAAGCTCGATATAAAGAAAAGTAAGAAAAACGTGCACGTATTTCGTTTAATTTGATAAACAGTAGCACAGCTCCGTTAGAGAGAGTTGGCTAACAGTTGTGTAGCTCAGCAGATGTTCTGCAGCATGGCTCTGATATATTTCAACAGGTGTTGTAAACGGAGGTAAAGCGAGTCTTTTGAGTTTCATAAAAAGCTGCAGACTTGTGGGGGGGTTTTTTTGTTGGTTTTTTTTGTGTGGTAGTTGCAGTGTTGTTCTCTGTGATGCCTACTTCACACATTTCTCTGTTTAAAAATCTAAAAGTTTATATCTAAAATTGAACAGACTTGTGTGTTATGATCTTCAGCCGTGTGATATTGAGCCTCAGGTCTAAGCGTTCACAAAGCGCGTGTTTACAGAGGATATGTGCTGTTAATGAAGTGCTGCTTAGGAGTCAGCATTCAGTATCTGTCGGTCATTCCCAACAAGCCAGAGCTCTTCGCCTCAAGCCGCCTGCACAGCGGTTCAGATTTCAGGTAATGAAGAGAAAAATCAAGCTGGCTGCAGAAAGTGTAACCTGGAAATGATACATGGCCTTTCTGTTTTAGGTGACAGCACCGTCCTATCATCATTTGCTCACCTTGTGTGATATGCAGCCAGCCAGCATCTCCTACGGAAGAGACACAACTGCAGTTGCATCAGATGAGGATGATGAGGGTGATGAAAATCTGGCAGGAAAGGAGGTCGGAGAAGAGCACAAGGACCTGAGAGAGATGGTGATGACTTCAGCCCAGACAGGGGCAGTCGGCATGGAGGTCCAGGAAAGTCCGGCAGATCCTGAAGCTGCCTCGGTGTCCAGTAAGTTAAAAAAAAAAAAATGGCTGAAACTGTCATACAATACTGTCTAATCTTTGGTTTAATTGGGGAATAGATTCACTTTTTGTTGGCTTCCTGGTACCACATAATTTGAAATCTGTGTTTTATTTAGCAAAGCAATATTTATCAAATGTGAGCGTGGACAACAATAGACTAGTAAACACGCCTGCCACGTGTCCTTGCATGATTGAATTTAAATGAAAAAAGGTTTCATAACTGCTTTTTAAAATTTTATGAGATGACCAAATATAACTTTAACGCAATATAAGTTTTTGCCAGAAACTCTTAAGCTTATGGCTTAACACGTTTTATAATGCGGTTCTGCCTGAGTCAAAGTCCAGATGCAATTTAGATGACTACTTGTACTACTCGAACAGGATTTTCTATGCTGGAATTCTGCACTTAAGCAACTTAAGCACACTGTAAAAATGTTACGGTGCCAGAAACTTAGTACTCAGTACCAATACCTGTTGTATGATTCTCGGACTTTCAGATTTTGGGTATCATAATTCTGGGTTCTGGTGCTGTTTCTAGCACACTATTTCATGAGCCGTGTCGAGTCTGTGGGTAACACTCCATGCCTGTGACTGCATGTCTGTTCTTTTTTTCATTTGTATATTCAGTTCATGTATATACAGTATGCTAAACTTGTTTGTTTTTTGACAGCTCCTTCAGGATCAAGTGAGAAGAAGACTAGAAGGAAGTTGAGGAGGGAGAGGAAGAAACTGATGAAGAAAACGCTGAAGTGTTCTGATACTTCTGAAAACTTATTGTCAGAGCTTCCATTTGCTTTGGCCAGCCCAACAACATGGAAAGCACTATGTATGTTCCTAATGTTTTATAATTACTTGAATTAGCAGCATTTTTCCCCACTATTAAGAAGCCTTGGTGACAAGTCAAGCGGGCACGTTGTGGCTAATAAGTGGTCTGTTTTCACTGTC